AATTGTTGTGATTGATCATAAATTAGGATTGTTGGTACAACAATAACAGTTGGGGGTATAATGGTTAATTACATGTTACCCTTAAGTTGAAAGTGATATGAAAGCATCACACAAGAGGGGGCTGCTCCAGTTGATTTCAGACTAAGGTCCCTGAAAGTATTTACAAGGTATAAATAAGGGAGAGAAATCATGGGATGGGCCAGTTGGTCCAGAAATGAGTGGGGATTATCAAAGACAAGAACCCAGGTGAAGAATGAATAAGTAAAATATTGACACTTGATCTGCTACTATATTGGCACCCAAGTTGTCAGTTGCCTCCCTACTTTGCCTCATTGTTTAATTGTTCATTCCACTCTCATTCATTCTCTCACTCTCTGTCTCCCTGGTTCTCATCCCTCATTTAGTTTGTCATGTTCACCACTCTGCCTCCCATTCAGGTGCCAGACTGACCAGCCCCTCTTCTGTTCTCCCTTTTGTATTTATGCATTGTATATAGTATACTACCTATGTACCCCAGTTTGAATGTCAACTGGAATACCCCCCAAGTCCCCCTGTCCATAGTTGTCAGGGACAGCTCCAAAAGTGGCAAAGTCCCAGCACAGGGGACTCAATGGGACAAGTAGTGGCTATGCATAGCAGTGGTCCTGTCATGGGGTGAGCATGTCAGGGGACGGACCCTGGGTCCCCATGACCCCTCTCTATGGCCCACAGCCTAACCTATGAACAGCCCTGTCCAGGGCAATGACTCTACTGTGGGTAAGAAAGTGTAATAGATAGAAAGGCAAGTAAGATACAACTTGCCTACTGTGGGTAAGAAGATGAGAAGGAAGCTAACTTCTCATCTTCCCACAGTGGCCACCATATCAGGAAAACTTCCGGGAATATCCGGAAGTCACATGAAGGCAGGATCCAGGGCTGGATCATGCGGTGCAGGAATGCGCACAGGAAATGTAGCGGGTCCGGACGTGGGTCCGGGTCCGGGCTAGTCAGGGTGTGTGCCCTGACAGTCAGGCAGGGTATGCCCTGACAATAGTTCACCTCTACCTTTGTCTTCACTTGAGCCTACATCACCTGTTACAGGAATGGGTTCCAGGGAACCCAACCTGAGCCGTTTGGCTCACTAATGGAGGTGGCTGTGTAGCCATCGGAGGGAGAGCAGAATAGGATGAGTGTATGGAAGTATGTCGGCCAACGGTGACTTGGCGCTCCTGGGAGCGTACCGGTAGTGAGTATGATGTGGGCTCCTTGAGGGAGCCACCTGGCTGTCTGCTAATGGGGACTTGGCACTCCTGGGAGTGTGCCGGTAGCAGGTGTGCTGGGAGTGTTTGGCTAGCGGTGACTTGGCACTCAATGGAGCATACTGGTAGTGAGGGATACTGGGACTCCCAAAGGGAGTCACCCAGTTGGTGGCTATTGGTGACTTGGCACTCATGGGAGCGTACCGGTAGCGGGAGTTGTTGGGGAAAGCGGGCTGGTGGACCAGTGCATGGTAGTGGGTGACTGTGGGAAGTGGGACCTGCAGGTGTGTGGCCAGGCATCCTGGAGCTGCCTGGACTGTATCCTTCTCCTGAGGAGGTGGGATAGGCTACAGTTCCTGATAGGGAACTTCTGGTTGGATGGGAGTAACCACTCGACCACCCAGTGGACTGGTGGGAGCGGGCAGCAGGAGGTTGGGCATGGGAATGCCCTCCTCATTGCGGTTTTGTCATGGAGAGGAGGAATAGGGAGGTAGACATGGTTCCAGGGTTACAGGTTGAGTTTACAGTGGTGACACAATGGTGAGGATGTTACAATCGCAGTACAAGGTTTCTGGGTTATGTATTGTATAATCAAAGACATTTTTTGGCATCTGCCTTACACATCATATGACTTCTAACTATCTAATATAAAGTCACAATGGTCAAGGGAAGTCCCTTGAAACTCAACAAGTTCCCCAGCCAGCACCAAAACCCAGTGGGAAAGCTTGGCAGGGGGTTTGACAGCGAAATAAAGGTGCAGGGACCAAAGGTTTGATTGTTCATAGTCACGGACCATAAGATTCTAGGTCCATTCCTATAACATCACCACCAGGTTCCCTCCACTACACCTGAATACAGGATAGCCTAGAGCATGTGGCACAATGCTCCCACTGAGTTGTTGAAACTGTCAGGGCCCGGCCCTCATTCCGCAACGGGCCCAGGGGGATCCTCCTAGTCGCTGGGGTATCTAGTCCCAGTCCGAGATCCTCAAACTCACTGAGGGGGCTAGCCCCAGCCTTCACAGGAAATGAGTTGCTGCGCATTTAGGGAGAAGGTAGTTACACTTGCCTTCACAGGAAATGAGTTGAGAAGAAGGGTAACCTTCTCAACCTCCTGTGAAGCCGCTACAAATGGGAGTCAGGAACTATACAGTTTTCAGCTCTTTGCCGACTTCCCATAATTGGCACCCCCCCATGGGAAGATTCTGGGCGAGCTGCTTGCCCAGAAAGTTCCCACAGTCATGGCTGTGATGGTTTCTGGGTGAGTAACTTGCCCAGAACGTTCCCACAGGTCTGCATGCATGCAGGATTGTGGAACAGTGAAGGGAAAAATAGGAGAAAATGGGGGAAGGGTACCTGAGGGTGTGTGGGGTCAGGGGCTGTGCCCTGACAGAAACCAACATCCCAACCCCCTGATGCCTTGCAATGGAGTAACCTATCAGCTAAGTGATCACTCACACAGCCATACTCTGCTCCACCTCCCACAAATACCCTCAAGCACTGTTTCTGATACCAAGCAGCAAAGGTGGCTGGAGGAAAAGCAGAGTTCAGTGCAGTGCCGACACAAGTCCATGAGTTGGAGGTTGATCAGTCAGTGCTGTCACAAATAAGGTCTGTCACATGACAGTTCATAAGTGCTTGTGACATCTCATGCATTGACTCATCATACATGTTCATGGAGCATTATGAATGTCCATGATGCATCATGGGACATTATAGTATTTTACATGATGGGGAAAGGTCAAAATAAACATATGACACTCCATGACACTCCATGAACCTTCATGACCTGTCATGAAAGGTCATGAGGGTTCATGAACATCATGACCACTCATGAACCTCCATGAGGCATCATGTCATATTGTGTCACCAGCAGTCATGAACCTTGTCAGCACATGACAGTTCATGACAATTTGTCATGAACTGTCATGAAATCCAAAATTTTCAATGTAAAAAATGTCTGATTCAATTCAATTGTCATGACATGTCATGAGGAGTCATGAAATTTTGTGACATGTCATGACTCCTCATGATTTCATGATGCAGGATTACACTTTTGGAGAGTACCTCTCTGTGCTACAAAGACTGTGGTGTTGAGTGATCCCTCCATATGGTAAAGAACCTTAGTTTGACTCCCTGACAACTGTCCAAGAGACCGCTAAGTTTAAGAGAATTCATTAATATCATGTTCTTGCACTGGGACCATGTGTGGCCTTACTGGTAGTAAGATTTTCTTTGCCCCCCTTTCTTTTCCTGTTTGCTGCTGGGTTATATCCCTAGCACACTTACAGTGTCAAGAACAATGTAAATGCCATCCTTCTCATCATGTCTAAGCACTTGCATATTACAATGGATCAGATCCTAAAATGTTACAAGAGATGATCAAATATGAAATCAATCAATGTGGAAGATCTGGACAACAGTGGATTGAGAACCCCACAGATGTTGCCCAGCACATGTATGGAACCTCTGAATCCAGTCAATTTGATTTCTTCTAACCATCATGATGGATCCTGACAGTGATGAACCGGAGGTTTTTACTGTGCAGATTCACTTTTCTGATTCCCATCCAAAGTTCTTTCCATGATGCTGGTGGTATCAAGATCAAAAAAAATATTCACTCATTCAGAGTCCAATTCCCAATTATGCAATGCCCTGTCTGTAGATCCTCATCAACCTTTGACCAGCACATTAATGCCACCTTTGGTAGTCATGCTGGTCTCCTTGTAAGATTACCTTCCAACTCAAGGCTTTAGACAAGGCTGGGAAGCTTTCTGCTGGAATGAAAGGAAGTGTGTTGAAGAATGCATGTTGCCAGCCAATAAACTCCAGGCAGCTGGCCATCATCTCCTGTTTTCACGAGTTGAATGTATTTTTGTGCAGAGCAGTGTTTGTACATACATGAGGATATCAAGAATTGCTGATGGAGCCCACCACCTTACATTGCAATGAAATCATCACTGGGCAGTGAGTGATCAGGTGGCAATATATTACAAACTTTGAACTATACCACACTGGGAATCACCAGTGGCCCTTCACATTGAACCCTGCAATTTGTTGTTCTTTTGTTGTTGCACTGTGTGGCTTACACTTCAAGCTCTTGCCATCACCATCATTGCATCGCTAACATCTGATCAGCAAGATCCCTTTTCCAAACCTCACCTTCATAAGTCTGGAGCTATGAGCAGCCTCACCAATCTCAGGCTGCTTCTGGGTGTTGAACACGTCAATGAACATGGCCATTCCCAAGGCTTTACAACTTCATACAATAGCGTGTGCTCTTGCTTCTGGAGGTCTGTTGGCCTTCCTCAGTGTCCTTGACTTCTTGGTCTTCTCTCCCTTTCTGGAACATCGGAAATTTGGTGTTAAGTACATCAAAACTGCAACACAAATTTTCTCATTTGTGTCACAACTTGTTGTCATGGCTCTCCTTGCATTGCTTTTGTATGGAATCCCAGCAATTGCGGTCAATGCAACAATACGGCGATGTGAGTTTTGTGCATTGCTGTGAAGCAGATTTTGATACAATGTTCCAGGTCAGCCGCTTCTTGTACTTCACGACAATGTTGAAGCCTGGCGAGGCCTTGGGGCTTCACTTCGTGTTATTTGGCATAGTAGAAACCACACTTTTCCTGTCCGCCTTCAATTGTTTTGTGTTCTCTTTTTTTACAGTTCTATTTTCATGTTCCAAATAGCCACACCCTCTTTGTTCTCAGTGAAGGTGGTAACTGTGAAACAGAGGGTGCCAGTAACTGTCAACTCCATGCCAGGTAACATCATAAGTGATTTACTGGGTTATGGTGATGTGGCTCTACAACATGGTGCAATTGATTATCTATACAGCCAGAGGAAATATATTGTTGTTGGAGACTTTGTTGGAGTAAATGATACGTATGTTGCATCCCTGCTGCTTTAGGCTGCTCTTTGCTTAGATTTTCTCAGAGTTCTTTTTGGTACGATGGACCAAAAATTGGAAGGTGTGGAGTTTGAAGATCACACTGCACTCAACTTGAGTGTAAGATGTGGAATTATTCCTCACACTTCTGGCGATTCTTTTGATTTCTCCTACTCTCTGGGTACATTGATTAATGCTCAGATATCTGGTTGATTTTCACCTGTTGTTTAGGGCCAACAGATGATTATCCAGGTGGTGGAACTGAATTATCATTCCATGTGTATCTCAAGTTCACCCCCATTCCTGGTGTCCAGCTGCTCTATATGTCCAATTATGGGGACTTTGTGGGTCTAATAAATCAGGGCAGTGGAAATTTTGCTCTTGGTGATGAGAAGCCAACTTCATCCACACCACCCCAATTCTGTTGTAAGTGTTTCACATTTGGATTCATGTCCTTAATTGCATTTATAAATTGCTGATTTCAATGATCTAATGGATGTTTGGACCATCAAGTTAATGACACACTTCTAAATTTATATCCCCAAGTTGATGAAGACCCTGGTACTTTTGCAACAGCACTTGTGACCACAAAGGACTATACCTTAGGTGGTGGAAGGCAAGGCTCCCCTGTGCAACTCACAAAAGAGATCCAAGTTTATACATCTGTAGCAACCACCAATTTGAGTGTGTCATTCCATCATATGGGTTGTGACATGGTGCTGACTCTTCTCTTTTATCAAGGCAAGTCCAATATCACCTTGGAATCCATCAACATAACAGTCAATATATGGCCAATTGGATGTGCAATTTACACGCAAAATCTAACCACACGTGTGTCAGGGTCCAACCACAAACTGCTGGACATCCTGGGTAAACATGAATACAACTCCCAACCAAAGTTCATTAATATGCCTTTTGAGCGCAAATCAAATCCAGCAAACCAGCTGGAAAAACAATTCAGTGACATGGTGTACTGGATCTACAAAATGAAACAGGACTTTGTGGGTTCTTCCCTGCCTGCTGAAAATGGTTTTAAATCAGTGCAGAGAGTGCAGCCTCTACCACAGGCTGCACTTTCAGATCTCACCTCAACTTCACTAAGCCCCCAGAACCAGTCTTTGAGCCTCTCAGGATTTGAGTACCAACTCAGCTTGTATTCTGCCTTCATTTATGGTTTCACTCTGATGAATTTGCGAAGGGCACTGCTCCATGATCCTAACATATTGCATGGAATTTGGTCACCTATTTACTTCAATACATCTGGAACACACCAGTCTGACCAAGCCATTGCCCAAGTTGCCTATTTCCCACTAATCATTGTGACTGCACTCTCTGGGTGCATCATGTTCATCTCTTTCTTCATCATCTGGGATGCATTCATTGTGATGGAGGCTGTGGTTGAGGATACACAACAGCAGGTGATTCATGATGGCAGCCTTCTCAACATGATATCTTTGCTTGCTGCATCTCAATCCAGTGCCAGTGCTGTGTCACATTGCTGCTCTCAGCACAAGGGTCTCTTGGACTATGACTGTATAAACAATGCTATTGTTGAGTGGGTGTTTAAGTTTCATCTCCACATCTCTAGCCTGACATCACTGCAGGTATTCAGGAGGGGGTCTCATCCTCCAATCTCAATCCATGTTTGCAAGTAGGATCTTCAATTCCACCTCCAATCACCTCTGAAAGGCATTTTGTAGCCATTGTTACAATCCAAAGCTACCTATAAACCATTTGATCAAGTTTGGACTCAACCAAACTCATCCAAGTCAGGGGTACCTTCAGGTGCTGAGCATCTTCGCCCCACCAGTGCAAGAAGTTTGTGGATATTAGGTATAGGAGGGATACTGGCACTAATTGCTTTCCATGGCTGCCTTGTGGTTTTGTCTGAGGCTCATGTTTTGGACCATTTGTACTTCAATATCAGGCATTTGGGGCTGATGAACCAAATTCTATCAACACATGAAGAGGGATTTGTGGTTATGATGTCGGCATTAGCCATTCTGTCTGTCTCATCACTTGCCTGTGATGTCTCACTAAGGGAAAGTACGATGATTTCCCCAAGCTATTTCTTATGCACCAGACTGACCACACAATCACCTCACCTCTAGAAATGCCCTTAGGAGCATTGCATTTCACTCTTGGGGCCTGGCGTCAAGGGCCCTACTCTCTGGTGCTGGCTCCAACATCAGTTCTTAAACGACTCAATATAATGTGTGTCTTTGGATTCTTCCTTGGAATCATGGTTACACATGCTGCCACACCAACTGTTGTGACAACAGAAGCATTCAATGCTTCAATCCCAACACATTTCATGGCTGACAGAATCCCAGGTTTCTGGGGTAATCTATCATTCTCTTTGCAGTTGATCAATGACATAGCAGAGTTTCTTGGAGCTGCTCCATACCTACTAGGTGACACTGCATTTGGTGCCAATGATATTCTTGGCTGGAATCAAACGTAAGCCTCTCATCCTTTCACAGAACTTCATACAGTAATTTGTGCAGTGTCCTTTTTAGTACACTCAATGCACCAGAGTATGAAGGGGGAACCTTCTATGATCCATTTGCAACAAAGTACAATGTGTCATGCAATGTAATTCCTCAATCAAAAGAGAATCCATACACTGGTAATATTCATATGGTAAGTGAGATGTATGTATAATGCCCATTGTAATTGACTTTCCAGATGCCCAGGATGACAATCCCCAGCGATACCTCCTGTCCATGAATTTGACTACTGATGTTAACCCATACCCTGGTTTAAGCATCATGTATTGGCAGTTGTCAGGCCTTAATGTTGGGCCTGAACAACAATATGCAAGTCCGAAAGAGAATGAGTCATCTACCCTGGTCTTCCCTGGTAAGTATATGGGTTTAATCACTAACTGGGATGATTCACCAAATTCTCTTAGTCCCAAATAGGTTTGCTTTACTCCAATCTCAATTTTCTCATGCTGGAGTACTTCCCATGGTTCATATCTCGGGCACTCCACATGTTGTAGAGGGTGGAGCACCACTATGGGGCTCATATAGTCTGACCATTCAGACACAAATGTGGACATATGTTCAGAATAATAGTATCTGTAAGTCCAATCCAGATACAGAATGCACTTGCCATTCACCTCAAACAGCATCAGACAAACTAGACAGCTATATCCAAGAAACAAGGAAACTGGAACTGGTGAATGTCACCATGTATCTTTGGCTTATCATGTGTACACTCCACATACTCAATGGTGGAGCTGTGGTGACTTCAAACAAGTTAGAGTCATTCATCCCAATGGTGGCAGAAATATTTGAACCACCACAAGGCTATGTGAGATCAGAAAAACCGACTCACATAATCGAAATAAATTGGGACAGTCTAATATACCTTCTATATGACCAGGGTCAGGGTCTCTGGTTGGAGGGCCCATATAATGGAACATTTTCTACCCAAGGTGGAACATCCAGACTCAGTGAACAACTTTCTCTGTTCACTGCAACATATGTAGCATTGCTTGACCGATCTTGGCGAACAAAGTATGAAAGCCATGCTCCAATTGTTGGTCTTTCTTGGAAACCTCTTCAAGCGATAGTTTATGGTTCAAAACAAGTGCTATCTGCACGTTTCACTATCCACATAGTTCCACTTTACTTTGGCTGTCTTTCTGCACTCCTTATTGGTGTGTCATCTGCTGTCATGTTGTGGAACACTTTCAACAGGAAAGATGTTGTGGTCAAAGAAGCTGGGATATTCCACAGCATTCAGATGCTCCAATGGTCTTCTCTGACCCATCTGTTCAGCAAGCATCAATCATTGAGTGTGGATGGATGCAGAGTTAGCAGGGACATCCTATCACTGGATGTTCAGTAAGGAACCTGCTGTTCCAAATATTCATGGACTGATTTATGGGATGAATGCCAGATGTAACGGTTTGACATTGGACATTGTTCATGAAGGGAATGATGCCATGTTAGATCCACTCAATGTATGTTGCTATTTCTGCCTTGAGTTGCCTGTTTAATTGTTGGACTAGGATTTTCCAGAACACTTGTCAATTGGTTGAAGGGGGACATATCACTCTTCACACTCGTGTCCAAGTCAGCCCCTTGCATGGTTCATCGATGGAAGGACAAACCAGTGACTTGGCTCTCATGCATGACTCACCAGCCACACCATATTTTGATCAGCAGTACCAATGTGGCTTGTACCATAACTACAGTGCATGATCATTTGATAACAATATTGTGTTATGGTTAAGATGCAACACTGACAGAATTATGATGCCAACAGGCTTAGGACAAGGGAATCATTCAGTGTAAGGAAGGGAGGCTGCATATGCGCCCCCTCCTAACTCTTTTACTTTGCTTTGCATTACTCTTGTTATCACTTGTAACATAGTCTATTATAATCAGTTTGTAACTTTGCACACAGCACTACATTATTGTATATACTTGGAGACCCTGCAAGCTGCATAGGCTGCATGTGCTCTTCCCCCCATGTATATAAACCTTGCATGCAGGCGAGTTAAGGCTTTATAGCCTTTACTCCCCCATTGATTATACAGGCTATTATAGCATATCTTTGACAGACTGGGAGTGTGAGGCGATACTCACAACCACTATACTAACATCTTACACTTTTTTACACTCAGTGGGTTGAATATCAACAACCCCTGCATTAACCAAAGCTTCCATTTGATTGACATTGTGAACTGTGCTGATCAGCTCATCAGAACCAGCTTTCAGAGTCCTCATGGCACCCAAGAGAGCTCCAGGTTCTCCCTCTGCAAAGAGGATGAGATCAAATGCACATAATGTCATGCAGACAGTGGATAGCACTGAGGGCACTAGAAGCAGTCCCCCAAATGTCCCTCCCAATCCTGGTGCAACTCCAGGGCCCCAAGAAGGCCTGGATACACCGGGTCCGGATCAACCTAGCACTTCAAATGTGCTAGGTATAGAAGCACCTTCTCTTCCTGAGAAGGACCCTCCTGATGTGCCACTAGAGCCAAATAGGCCTCCCAATGCTCAAATCCCCAACCCTGTTCCTGATCCTACTAGGTCAGGCAAGGAGATGCCTGTTATGGAAATGGGAATTTCCCATTTTAGACTCTTATGGGTTCTGTATCACATGATTTGTATAGTAATTGAGTTTAACCAATCAACAATTACCAAAAAACCCGCTGTGCTAACATCTGTTAAACCTCATGTTACAACAACTGTGAAACCACCTGTAAAACCTAATGAACCACCTCACCTCCACTTTCCACTTTCCTGCGCCAAGAACGGACGAAAATGGGCGCCTCCGGCCCCATTTTTGTAACAATGCCAATACCCAGTGATGGCCTCAACAAGTCTGTTGAGATCATCGACACTGTTGGTGATCGAGCATCAACTCAACCTCAAGAGCTGGTCAATGACCAGCCCAAAGAAACCATGCAGACGTTGTAGGAGTGCATAACGGGTGTGCTCAATTTCATGGAACCTTATGCAGCAAATACATCAAAAGTTGGGCTCCTGCCATTGTACATTATTAGGAAAAAGGAATTATAGGGGGAGTAATAAAAAAAGAAGAAAAAGGGTTTTCGTACAAACCGAGAGAGCCTTTCTGCAAAGGAATTGGTTGAAATTTGGTGGAGAAATTCAACCTGAGATGTCCTCATGTGTGAAGTCTGTGCACTTGACTGTGCCATGGGAACAAGGTCAAAAGTTGATGGAAGAGGACGATTTTTGGGTCATTAAATCGAGAAAAATGCCCAAAGACTCAGTGTTGAATTCCACCCTAATCGGTTCAGTGGTTGTGGAGATATTCTGATTGTCAGGCATGATGGGAGTCACAGGATGATATAAACTATGTGGATGCTCACATGTGAGCTAGTCTCAGTGAAATTCCAAGAGAATATGGGCTAGTTAAATGATACAATGCTAAAGAAGTCATTGGAGGAGTCTTGGAATTATGGCATATTATTTTCCCTGTGCACAGATAATCAAGATATAAATTCTGTTTCTGAGAATTCCCATTCTCAGTCAAATCTCCACCAAATTTCACAAAATCGGTATCGTTAGAAAGCTATGGACGAGGAGAGTCGAATGGAATAAAGGGACGGAGTTTTGACGCAGTGTTTGGAGTGGTATGAGGAAGTTTGTGTTTTTCTTTTGTTGTTTGGAATTCTATTCTAAGCCAACAGCAGCCGAACCTTGCCACTGTTGTTGGTGGAGGCTTAGCTCAGCCAAACCCATATATTTCGGACTCTTTTCACAAGTTGTATGTTTGTTGTATGGGTATATGTACATAGTGATTGAAACGGAATAGATGATTTCCCCCCCTCCTGCTACTTTTGAAGTCCGTGTACTTGGGTGTTGTGAGTGGCCACATGATTGGTAAAGGGCTATTGTGACCTTTAGGGAAATCCACCACGGAAAGAAGATAAACAAGAGTTACCAGTTATTTTTTCCCAAAATCCCCTCCCTGTTGAATATACGAACCTGTTCTACCACAACACCCTTTAACCCCCTTTTCTTTCTTCCCTGGCTCTTTGGGGAGTGAGTTGGAGTGCTACCTTCCATTTTCTGGAGACCATAGCCAATTCCCACTTGCAATGTTGATGAGCCTAGTTGTCAGGGCAATAGCCCCGAACCCCGAGTCACATGTAAATTAGATACATATAGTCACGTGGGCAAGCGGGAACCTCCGGGTAACCGCTTACACACCACCGTAAAATACACTATCTTGTATCACTTACGGCCTTGTGTGCTGAGCCACCCTAAGACCTCACACTTTTTTAAGTGCTTGAGGTTTGTTTTACAACACAACCCACATCTCTATAATCTTAACATCTGACTTGGAAGCGCCTATGGTGCCTAAACACGCCCGCAAGGGCAAGGTCACATCTGCAGCGACACTAAAAAGAAACGAGCGGTTTATTAAGAAACCGCAATCTCCCATGATGGGAGATTCAAACAAAAAGCTGTCGTCAGACGATGACAAGGATCAACATGATCTGGCATTAGCAACCACTTCAGGGCTGGTCCCTGAAGGTTTTAGAAACTTATGTGGAGTAAGTGCAGGGCAAAATACCCCCAAAACTCCACAACAAACCGATCTAACCCAAGCTGGGGAAGATCCCTCACCTCCTCACGAGGTGATCGACTTGTGCGAAAAACGCATAAGCACCGAACGATCAGCCCAAAAAGCTGATTGGATAGAGTCGCAGGAAACTCCAGGGCCCCACTATCCCCTGGAGTCCCCCCTCACATCCCCAAGTCAAGCCCCAAAGGCAGACAAAGGGAAACAAAGGGAAGAGCCCCCGCGTCGGCTATCTGAAAAACTACTGGACTTGTTCCAGGTTCCGTCTGAATGGAGGATGGAAAGTGAAGATCACTTCTTCTCAGGCTTTCAGCCTGAGAAGGTGCGAAAATATGCCCTGAGAGCAGGATCTCCCAGAGCGTGGAAGCTCCAAAAGAACTTCCACTGTTTACACTCCCACACACCATGCCAGACAAGGCAAGGTCACCAACTTTGGAGGAGGTCTCCAAGATAATGGAGAGGAGGCGAACGGAAATGAGGGAGTTTGCTGAGGAAGCCTTACGTAAAAGTAAGGAGAAACCAGCGAACAGACCCCTCTATGAAAGGGAAGCACCCTCCGCAATGGCCTCGCCTAAACAAAGCGAGCGTGGAGTGTTCACTCCAAGAACCCATTCTGGAACCCCCAGAAGCGGAAATGTCAACTGGGGAGAGTCACTGCTCGCCCAACCAAACTTCCTCCTGGAAAACCAGGAATTGCGCATAATAAACGCAATAAACTCGATCCAAAAAAGATCAAGGAAACGAACCATAATAGCACGGCTCATCTAGAGATAACTCTAGAAAGAATGGCCAACGCAATCGACGCGTTGACTGAAAAAATCAGCGAACAAACAGATTTGCTGAAGGAAATAAATTTCTCACAAAAAAGTGAGGAAACAAATAAACACCCCTGGACCATGGTCCAGGACATAAATAGAACTCATGAAAAATTCATGAAAAGAACCACCAGTGAAAGCACACTGGAATATCATCAGCGACTTGACAGAGACGCTAAGGAGATCCTTCTCCCAAGGATAGGAGAAGACAATGCTGAAAGAAGGCATCGTTCAGAGATTAGGAGGAGAATTGGCACGTACCAACGGTTTGGCCAAACATCCACTTATGACGGACCTCTTGAACAGAGAGGTAACTCATTCACACCCTCTCAAAACAATGAGAGAATACAAATACAACTTCAGGCGAATTCGCCTGAAACCAAAGAAACGCTGCGAGGAAGATTTCCCCCAGCAAAAACCCCCCCAAAGGAGAGATCTCCATTGGATAGCAACCCCACGAAGGCAGGGGAGCAAGAAGAGTACCTGGAGAAATGGTACAAAAAGGCCATAAGAATGGCCGAAGTGAGAATACTCACTCCATACCCAGAAGGAGTGAAACCAGAAGCCCTAAAGAATGGGCCGGCATTCCCTGACAAGAAATGGTCAGGGGAGAACGACATGGAATCGTTCTGGCAGTGGTTCACAGAACTACTGGGATTCCTTGCCTCGCGAGGATGCAAAGGTCCCCAATTTGATGAAGTCCACCTGGACTGCTTGATTCATGGATTAGGGGGCCTGCGTTTGACCTCGGAATTAGACTCCGAGACGAAACTCTCCTCAGAGGAGACAAGGGCATGTTCCTCGAAGTTCTCAACATATTGATGAGAACCTTCATCAAAGCCTCCGCCGCGTTGAACGCGACAAAGAAATACCGCAACGTCAAATATGAAGCGGAAAAAGGCCTAAAACAGTTCTACTTAGAACTGTCAAAAGCAGCGTCCCAGATGGTGACGCCGCCAGACCAGGCATCCTTCAACGCCAGGTTCCTAAACTACATTCCCCTCGAATGGAAGAGGGAAATGATTGCTCATGATAGAATCAGAGCAGACTTCTCCTCAAACGAGGAGATGTTAAAAGCAATATCTCGTGTAGACGAGATAATTGACGGGCTGAAGATGTCTTCAGCCTACAAATCAGGTTACTATACCAGAACAACTACCATGGCAACCACGAGCCGTGGCAGAGCCCTCCATCAGGAAAGAAGGCAGAAGAGCTGAAACCCAGATGGAAAGAGGACACATCCTCGAAAAACTCGAGGAAAACTGACCAAAAGTCAGTTCCAATTTGCGGCAAATGCGGCAAAATAGGGCAAACGAAAGATTGCCCAAGACACAATACAATGAGTGATGAAAAACCAAGGCGCATAGCTGCCATGGAGATCGTGAACTCAACGGATGAAGAGTCAAAAGGCTCATCAGATGAGAAACCAGAGAACAACTCTGGTAACTCCAAAGCATCAAGCTTCGAAGTAGAGGACCCATATGAAGGACCTCAATACTCACCCGACTCCGAGGGTGAGGGAGTCAACGTCGGGACCATAAGAATGGGCCCAATGTCAGTCATCGACCACGATGACATAAATTATAAAATCAAACTGGCTGTAGCACACCAGTTAGAAAACACGGCAGACGAAAAAGTCGCCAAAGCCTTGGTGGAAGCACCAAGAAAAGACGCCTTGGGGAAATACACCAAAGTACCCAAGGAAAACAAGGACAAAGGGAAGAAGGACCAAAAGTCCATCGAAACCCAGTCCCCCTTGTTTGATGCGAAATTCCGCATCTCAAAAGATGCGGGAAAATACCCTGCAAACAGACCGCTCTCAACGAAGAGAATGCTAACGGCTCACCTAAAAATAGCAGGCATAAAAGCCTATGCGCTATTCGATAGTGGAGCCGAAACAGACACTTTATTGCCGGACTTTGTCCGCACGGTCCACATCCCAATTCTCCAATTGGAGAACCCAGTTGTCCTTCAAATGGGGACGAAAGGAACAAGATCACAGATCCTGTTCGGAACCAACATGGACGTTGAAATCAATGGCCACATAGAAAAACACTACTTCGATGTAATAAACATCGACAGATACAATGCCATCTTCAGCGCCCCCTGGTTAAACAAAAACCAGGTAAGCTTAGACTTCCGGTCCCACAAAGTGAGAACGGTGAACAAGGGCAACATAGACACCCTTGGAATAAGCGAAGACCATGTGACGAGATCACACGGATGGAAAACTTGAGCAAGAGCTCAAGAACAACCAAAAAAGAAGCCCCCCTGACAGGGAGGTGGGATTGAAACACACCTCAGGGTAATCACAAGAAAATACCCTGAAGGTTGGCCCAATCCTAGTCCGGAAGGACTAGAACTTCCAGATGTACCACACCTGGAAGGTCTCTCCATGAACAACCCCGAGTTCGAAATACT